AATCGAGTATGATGGCGAACAATTTTACTTGGTCGAATATGAAAGAGTGCTTTGGTGCTAAATTTATGCAGCGGCTGATCAACCATGGCAATTAGATTTATCTGCTAACAATCCCTCGAAACCGCTAATTCAGTTCCAGAAGAACCACTTAATTTTAGGCATTTTCTAAAAGAGAATTTGGCATTTCGAGTCAATTTTTATCTCAGACACCTGAAGGGACAATTTATTCAGAAATAGTTTCTTACTCTTTTTCTACGTAGGGACTCAATTCAAGCTCTTTAACATTTTTTTTAGCAAAGCCTTTGAATTCATCTTTGGTGCAACAAGGTACCTTTTCGAGACATTCGAGCACTCCTTCAATAGTAGGTCTGTTCTTAGGAAGTGGATCAAGAGCCTGATCAATGATGTTGGCCAACTTGGGATCAATTTTTTTTATAGACCTCAAGATATCCTTATAGTTTTTAAGCCTTTGTACATTACTTTTAAAAGCAAAATAATTACGGTCGTATCTGGCTCCATCTTTAGTTACAAAGAAACTAACAACAGTAGCTGCAAAAGAAAAGACATCAGATTTTTTGGTGGGAAAAATAGGGTTAAAATTAAACTTCAACTGGTGTGGGGTTAGCCCAATCCATGCTTGTGTAACCTTTTTTTTCTGGATAAGTATTTTTTTCATTACCTTTGGCTCCACAGATTCTGAGTTGATAAGCTCTGGCGCAACATATTGTTTGGTAAACACAAAAAGATACTCTTCCTTTGAATATGGCTTTTCGCCCAAATCAGTTCCTTCTGTTTCTCCAGCTCCTTTTTCATTAGCTCTTTTGATCTCCACAGCGCCACCAAAATCTGCGATTTTAACATCCCCTTCTTTTGATACCAAAATATTATCAGGCTTCAAATCCCCATGCACAACGCCTTTGTCATGCATAAATTTAACACCCTCAGCAATTTTTTTGAAAATATACGCAAAGATCTTTGACTTTTCTCTCCAAGATTGAGGCTTACTCAATAAATCGTAACCTTCTACATATTCCATAAATATCATATTGTCAGTTTTATAATAAGCACGAACAATACTTTGATATATAAGGTTCTTTTGAATCGAAAATTCCCTTTCAATAAAAGCTGATTTGTAATTTTCCGGAATCTCTTTAATCAGAAAATCTCCCGTTATTACACTCATTAGCTTTTCTTTCTCAGATTTCGTCATTTTGATAGATTTTAGTGCGTATATTTGATTTTGATCAAGAGATTTTTTATCTCTAACAAGGGATGCCAAATGCATCGTACTCCGTCCGGCGAAGCTTACTTCAGTAAAAGTTCCTTTTATGAAATACTCTAGAGTCACTTCCTCAGTTTGATCTGTTGTTTTCGCAGGAACTTTAGGAGAAAAATCGTGTTCAATTGTAGCTGCAGAAATATTATATAGGGTTAGAAATAGCAGAGCCAAAATATGAACGGAGAAGATCATCCAGAGTTTAAATAAAACCTCACCTTTTAGTGATATATTTCGCGTGACCTTTTAATTAAATTGTAATAAATTGTATACGGGTGTTTAAATTACAACCCATCCATTAATCACACATCTGAAACCTAAGAATGCCATTTACCACTGAAAAAGTATTCGTGGATAAGCTAGCTTGTGATTTGAGCTTTACCATGGGACTAT